CACAGGTGCATTCTGAAATGTTACTTAACACTATGTGTGTAATTTTTTTATAGTATTGCAATAGACTGTAATAGATGAGTGACCATAGGGCTACCATACCAAGCAGATAAGCGCAGTTGAAGCTTCCCCAGTCAGAATAAATAGCTTTGTTTGTAAGCGGAGATTCTTACTAACCCTTTTTTATGCATTAATTTTGCTTATGATAAACATAAGATGTAACGTTTAAACGCCATTAGTTGACAAGATTGTTCTTGTTTGCAAGCTGCGTTTGATAAATATTTGGTGTTATATATTTATGTTTAAGAATATTTAAAGCCAGAAGGTGGAGCAGTGTAGTAAGAGAAGGACGGTTTACCGAATTTGTTTCATGTAATTCGTATTATTTTAAATATAAATATTATAATAATAAAGAGGAGAGTGGAAAAATACATGTTGTGCCGACCCCGTCTAGCGTCGAATGATAGGGAGAAGAAGAAAAAGATGTCATTTATTATGTAATTAATTTAAATTATTTCGATATCCTTCTCAATTTATCTTATGTATATATCATTTGTAATTATTTATTTACCCACATCACTCGTACGGAGCGTCGCATGTACATATAGAAGTCACTGTACCCAAAACAATGTGAAAAAATTACTGAACAAATAAATATTTTTATGTAATAAAAGCACTTTCGACGTATGTTCACAAGTGACACAAGTATGTACCTATGAATTATAGTAGATAGTATTATTTGCTGATGATACTTCCTTATTATTTAAAGGTAAAAAGCGCCAATGTTCCTATGACGATGTGAACAATGCTATATCAAAAATAGTTGATTGGTTTGCTGTTAATAACCTGCTCGTTAATGAGAAAAAAACAAATTGTTTGAAATTTACATTACCCAATGTTAGAGAGACGGTTACAAACACTATACTAAGAAACGAAAAACTGAACCTTATGGATACAGTTGTCTTTCCAGGTATCATGTCAGATGCTAAATTGCAATGGAGTCAACGTATAAGTAAGTTATCAAAACGGCTCAGCACTGCAGTGTGCGCGATTAAAAAAATACGGAAACTTTCAGACGTCAAAACCGCTGGATTGGTTTACTTCAGACACTTTCACAGTCTAATGACACACGGCATTTTGCTTTGGCGTAATGCCGCCGATGTCAATAGTATATTTCGCCCACTTGCCAGAACAACGTGTTATCTCTAACACATTAACACACATAAATAACACGTTGTTCTGGCAAACGGGCGATTTGTCCTGCAGAAACGTGCGGTTAGGGCAATTTACAATCTAGGCACCTGAGTGTCTTTGAGAGATAAGTTTAAGGAAATTAACATTCTTGCACTAGCGTTACAGTAATTTATGGTAAGAGGAATAGTAATTTCTGTATATAGTGACAGACATAACATTAATACGAGGAATAAAAATAAACTAGCTGTTCTTGATAGTCGTCTTCACAAAGTCACAATTTCATTTAACGGGCAATGTATACGCTTCTATAACAAGATTACGGTTGATATCGTGTTGATATACAAAATTTGCTATTCACGAGGTTTACAAGGATAGTGAAAAAAATACTTTATACTAAAGGTTATTATACAACTTCTGCGTACTTGGATGACAAAAATCCGTGGTAGTAACCCGTTTAGCTCATGGAGGTTGTCTCGATCTCCGATGTTTGAAAACAAAAAAAATATATTGTAAATGTTGAATGTGTACAAATGTTATTTACAAAGAGCAACTCCTAGAGTTTCTTGCTCATTCTTCTCAGGGGAATCTGCCTTACGAATGAGCGGTAGAGTTTAACCAATGTGACGATTTCAAGTGTAATAATAATGCTTACCTATGAAATAAAGATTATTTTGTTTCTGAATTTGATTTATTCATACGAAATAAACGCGATCTTCGAGTTCGTAAAGGAGATGAACAAGATAATTACATATCTATTATTAAGTTCTATCACCGATGCTGACTGTAAAAATCACCAAGCTATCACGGTTGTACTATTAAAACATCGAGGTCAACTCAGACCAAACGAGATTTGTGCTTGTGGCTGTATCAGGCTGTATAACAGATATATTGGCTGTAGGTACATAAACTGTGTTACTGGTAACCAGACAACTGTTGAGTAATATTTGCTAACTTTTGCTTGCCAGTGAAAGGGACAGTTCCATCATATACTACGAGAAGGAAATAGTGGCATACGCCTATTTGAATACAGGATTGTTTGGCATTACACAAAGGATGAGTGCTACTAGAATTACAGCACATTTTAATAGAGCGAGGGGGATGAAAACTAGCGGCGGTAACCTGGTGGAACATCGGTTTCTTTTTCTGTATGAAAATTTACGCCAACGTCTTTTCAATGTCAATTTATCAGTTACAACCTCAGAGACCTAACGGTTTGCAATATGGGCACTGGATGCGGTGGTCCCGGGTTCGATTCCTGGTAGGACAATTTGGGAATTTGGGAAATGCATTTCTAATATTTTCTTTCGTAGCACCGCATTAGAGAAACCCAGTGTCGCTGGTGCCATGGACACACATAGACAAATTACACCCAAACTCACGAAAGAAATAAATGTAAGCAATAGAAATATTTCTCCCGGCCCGGGAATCGAACCCGGGAGCTCTGCGTGGCGGCAGACCAGCAAGATAACCACCGTTCGGCCACAGAGGCAGTTGTGCTCATACAATTGCCATGTTATTCGAGAGATTTAAATCGCAAAGACCTGATGGGCACTGCCACTGTGCCCGTCACCCTGAGATAAAGTTGGCAAGATATTTAAAATGCGCTTGTAAAATTCGCACTAAATTCTATTAACCATCGAGGACTAAATGACTTTGTATCAAAATTAACTTGGTAATAAATAAACTCTAGATTGTATTATAACTCAAGTTTCTTTAAAGTGTCTGTAAAGATAAGACAGTGCTGTTTTTCGAGAATAGTGACTTTTTTTATAGTACTAAGTGACGGGACTCCAAGTCGAGGGCCTAGTGGAAAGCGACGTGCCTATCCAAAACAGTTGCAATGTCACTCAGAGCTTTATTTAAAGAAACAATCTTAGGAGCACTGCCACTGCGCCCGTCACCCTGAGACTCAAGTTGACAACACCTAACGCGGTAACGTGAGCATAATAAAAAAAGGGCGAAATAGATGATGACTATACTTTCCTGGATGAACAATGAGCTCTACTGCTACGTGTTAAAATCAAATAGCACCGCTATTTCTTTCAAATGCTTAGAAAAACAATAAACTATTCTAACTAAGTAAATGTAATGTCATGTAATCCTTAATCCAAGTAAATGTTACCACATTTCGTTCACAAGAAAATTAAAACCTGTTGAATCTGCATATCATTTAAATGGTGAACCATTAGCTAAGGTCAATGAAGTCCGCGATTTAGGAGTCACAATAGACAACAAACTAAAATTTTCTGTACATATCGATAAAATTATTAATAAAGCAGCAAGAATGTTGGGATTTATTAGACGAAACACACGTAATTTTAAACAAATCCATACGAAAATCGTACTCTATAATAGTCTAGTACGATCTCACCTTGAATTTGCCTCCACAGTATGGTATCCAGTATACGCCGGCCCCTCTCAGCGCATAGAAAACATTCAGCGTATCTTTACAAGACATATAGCTTTAATTTCACCCAACATATCACACAGATGTCCTTATAATCAGAGATTATTATTTTTTAAATTGTCCTCATTGCATAATCGAAGAATTAAAGCTGACTTGTCATTTCTCTATAAAATAGTGAACGGTGAGATATCATGCTCTGCTCTGCTTGAAAACGTAAAGCTCGCAGTACCATACAAATATCCCAGATCACGCATAACTAAGCTATTTAATATTCCTCCATGCCGCACTAATTTAGGTTTTCATCTTCCACTCTCGAGAATGTCTTCCCATTACAATTATATGTCAGCAAACCAACCAGAGCTGGATATCTTCAACGATACGTTAAAAATGTTTAAAACGAAACTGTTGACAATACTCGAAGCAACATCCTAATTTGTAATTCCGTATGGGTTTTTTGTATGGTTTGTTTTTGTTTTGTTTAAAAAAAGGGTATGATTTTATTGTTTTGTTTTCCATATATTTTTATAAAATTTTGGTTTAGTTCTACTAACTAAGTTCGACAAAGTTGTGTGTACCAGTAATAGGCATATATATAAGACTAATTCTATTGATTATGTAACCTTTTTGTATAATATTATATTTATGCTGTTGGTATACCTTAATAAATAAATAAATAAAATTAAATAAACTAAAATTAAGTTTAGTGAGGCTTGTGAATCGAGTGAAGAAAAACATTCATAGATTTCTCTAAAGACAAGAAAAAAAGCACTATGCAAGACATCTATTTATAGCTAGTTTGCAGAATTCAAACGCGGTCGTGTGAATCTCAGTGACAAATTTCGTGATGGTCGTCCGTCCTCTGCTGCGAACAATAAAATCATCGATGCTGTGCACCGTATGATCAAAACAGACAGGCATGTGACATACCATGAGATTAGGGCATCTTTAGGCATAGGCATGAGTCAAATACAATCAATACTACACAAACATTTGGGTGTGAAAAAGCTGTGCTCTCGATATTGCCAGTTCTCACACGGCCAGACAGACAAATGAATTTTTGAAGGTGAACAACGTTGACCTTATGAGCCATCACGCGTACTGTATACGTTTTTACGATAAGATTCCTAAGTAAAAAACTTACATAAAATTATTTTTATTGAGAATTCATATTATACAATTGAAGAGAGCACATAAAGAAATATGAAAAGACAACAAGAGTCTATATTCCACACAATCATGATTCAAAGTGTATTCCATAGCATTTAACTTTATTTGAAAAGAGCAATCCCTAGAGTTTCTTGCAGTTTTCAAGTGTAAAAAACTAACATAAGGAATAAATTACTATTAGACATTGACGTCCGATCTTAACAATTATATCTAATTCAAATTTCTTTTGTTACAGACTGAAAAATGTGGGCCGTTCTTCTAGCAGCGGCTGTACTGTCGACCGCGCGATGTAAACAATTACCTCCTAGCACAGGTGAGTGAACTAAATAGTGCCTAATTTCTAACAGATATACAGGAGTGGTCTGGGACCACAGAACAATAAATACAGTAGATGTGGTTAGTTAGCGCCAGACGCGTGCCAAAATTGGATCTCGAAAGACCTACGTGAGCTCAGTTCGCCGTTTTCGCTTTGTATGGTATGGTTGTGTCATTTTTATTGCGCAAATTTCCTAAAATCGCAGAAAATCGCCTTATTGTGCTGTTTCGGAGTACAAAACTGATAGCAAATCAAAACGTCGTTACTTGCAATAAAGGTATTGAACATTCAACGATAAGGCGACTGGGTAAAGTTGAAATTACATCCAGAATTTGTTACATCTTTTTAAATTAGAAATTATGACTAAACATTATCAATATTTCGTAGTGTTTATCGTTAGTTTGTGTGAAAAAGCACAATGGCAAGAGATGTGGTCATATTCATAGAGTCACAGACAGAAGGTGGTCACAGATAGTCTCGAACTGGTACCCGATTTATAAGAAAAGAAGACGAGACTGGCCATCAAAGAGATGGAGTGATGATATCGTAGAGGTAGCAGGAACGCTGTGGCCAAGACTGGCACAAGACAGAGTCTGTTGGAAGAAGATGGAGGAGGATTTCACCGCTAAAAGCGGCCTTTGCACATAACACTGCTAACTGTAAATTAAGACAATACTAACCATACTAACAAATAGAAATTGAATAAGTTATATAAGTAAACTGTACTGTTGTATGGGATGAATAAAGCTAATAACAATAATAATAATTTGGTTGTGTGCGCTTTGGCGACATCGGTAGTAAACGAGATTTAAGGTACTTCCATAGTTTTTTTCTTCCGTGTCAGGGAACCTGGTAAAAAACATGAATGTATTGATAATTTTAATCTGCAGGTACTTCGATTGCTTTTAAATTAATTTCAGTTCTATTCAAAAGAACACTTTACGTTCTTCAAGGTTAGTTTTTGTATGCCTTGAACAATGTTGTGCCAATATACGTATGATAAGTTATACTGATTTCTCTGACTCAGGAATAATAAAAATTACCACCTCGATGTCGCAAGATGTGAAGATCCCAGGTTCAATTCCCGGTAGAATAAACTGTTCTCTTCGGTGCTTCTGGCTGTGGTGAAGAAGGTTCTAAAATCTCTCACTAGATGTCACTAGCGGTGCAGAATGCCGAAAAATCTAGTAGAAAGATCTTTAACAAAAACACTTAAGGAGAATTTCGACAACTCGATAGCTTGACCCGTAGCTCAGTCGGTAAGAGCAATACTTCGGTGCAGTATAGTCGTGGATTCAATTCCCATCGGGTCGAAGAAAATTTCTCGCTTATTCCCAGTTGTCACCACTGGCTTTGTTCCCACTAGCGACAAATGGGAAAAAAAATCCCATTTGTCCCAAATTTTTTATATCAACTGAACTAAATAGAACACGTATACTATACGATATATGTTTTTCAAACGGCTTTAATTTTATTAGTAAAAAATAATAATAATAATAATAATAAAAATAATAATTTCGCTCGACCTAAGCAAAACGAACCGTATTAGTACGGGGAAAAATTTGAATTCGACCTGCGAGTCTATACTACCTCTTAATAATCGTAATATGTCTGTTCTAAATTGATTCTATCACATTAAAAGAAACCAAAACTATCGCCACTTTTTGAAAGTTTCATAGTAAAATTTCCTAAAAAAATTTTGACAGTTTACTCAACAGAACCCAGTTATAAGCCCGCAGTCGTGCTAAATATAGACCCGTATTTTTCTTAAAACCGGCCCTGGGTGGTTGACCGGGGTCATCGCTCGCTGTCCGCCGCCTGCGCATCCTTAGCAGCCAGTCATTGGACAAAAGAATATGAATTCACATTTAGAATGCGTTTGTAATATCCGCACTAAATTCTATGAACCTCCGAGGACTAAACGACTTTGTATCAAAATTTACTTGGTAATAAATAAATTCTAGATTGTATTAAAGACATAATCTGTAGTTTCTATAAAGTGCCAGTAAAGATAAAAGATAATGCTGCTTGTCTAGATAATGATAGTTTTTTTTATAATAAGTGGCGAGACGCACAGGTCGTGCGCCTGGTGGTAAGCGATACGCTGGACACTGCCATTGCGCCCGTCAATTCCCATGTGCATGTAGTTTCACCAGCACCCTTACCGCTTCTGGAACGGTCACATTACTGCTTGGCGGCAGAAATAGGTCAAGTACAGCACTTCACGTACGTGCAGTACTTCCCTGGACGTACTCTTGACAAGGAGCTCTACTGCTACTAAACTTCAATAAAGAGAAAGAGAAGAGAGAGAGAAAGAAGAGTTAGGATCGCTATAACTTCGAAGTTCGATGACAATATTTTCGATAAATAAATGAATACTGCTTTTTACAAAAATGTTAGCCTTATAATTGTATAAATTACAGTGGAGTTTAAATAACTAAATAATTTTACACGTCAAAACAGATTTCATTTAGTTTCCGTTACAATTCCTTCTTAACATACTTTCCAACTATCAACCTTGTAATTTGTAATGCTTTCTGCTTCCGTCATAAAAATTTTCATAAAATAAATTATATAGAGACAAAGTAGTTCGCTTTCTTTTTCTTATCAAATTTAACTGTAGTTTTAAATGCTGAAACGTATAATCAAAGTTACAAAATCATGTATTCCATAAAATAAATGTACTCTTAAAAAAATCATTTTTTAAGCTACTGCTCGTTCCCTAAGGGTGCGTACAAATCTGGCGAATGCCCCTCTTTACGAAAGGCACACTTGCATTACTTACTGCGATTTGGATCCCATGTGTCCTAATTTTGAATCATCTCAGCAGGTCGATAGAGAGTCAATGGCAGCATTCTGTACGTTTGGTATTCTGATAAAAGTTAAAAATTGGATAATATTAAGTTTATTATATGCTAAGGAATCTGAATTTTGACTGCCCCTGTAGCCGTATCTACCGACCCGAGAAATAGGGTATTCCGGAGAGACTACGGGCTCGATGGCAAGGTCAGGGTACAGCGGGCGTCCAGGCCGAGCCCTCCGCCAGTGATACGCCTTCACGGCCGTCTCTGGTGGACCCGGACTTGGGTATGGACTCGCCGGGGTGTGTGGTTAGCTGCAGGTACACGTTCATCTGCCCCAATAGTATGTGGCCGGGGCGTTCATCACGCGCGCAGCTAGCACGTCTTAGTAGCGGTCTAGACGAGGGTATGATGGCGAGGAGACGCGCGGGCCATGTGAGTTGCCCTTTAAGTCGTTAGCTGTATCCGGACATTGTCGCAGAACACTGCTACCGACATCCTCCGGTCCCTCCAGCCCGTAGGAATTTGGGAACTGGAGAAACGCCGTTTTTCAGTGTGGGGAAATGCGCGTGAATTTAGTAGTGGACTTAGAATCGACCGTTTAGCGGTGGCAACCGCTAGATGTGCAAGGCCCAACGGGAAGTGAGCGTGCCTACAGCTCCGGTACCTATCTGGAAAATAGGGAAGGCAGCCTCTCGAAAACTTCTATCTCAGAATCTATTTGATAATTGTTTTGTCCTCTTTGTCTCTACTAACTTAGCACATAAGATTATTGTTACTAACAAATATGGACTAAGTTGTCTGAAAAATAAATGAATTTGAATTTGAATTTGAATTTGAATTTGAAAACTGGATGAAGTCAAGTGACAGAGATCTGTACCAACCCTGTACACTGGCTGATCTGAGGTCAAAACCTGAACTTATAAGATTCCTGTGCGCACACAGGTTATAATCCTCGTATACTCGAAGAGTCAGTAAGAAGGGTCACTTCAATCAAAACTAACGGAGAAAGATATGGGCTGCCTCAGTGACCGAACGGTTTGTTTGCTGGTCACAGAGGTCCCGGGTTCGATTCCCAAGCCGGGAGATATATTTGTATGGCCTACATTTATTTCTCGCGTGAGTGTGGGTGTAATTTCTGATTTGCGCAATTCGTCGGGGATTGGTGCAAGACGCGTATTGCACTAGACCAAATTTTACAGGATTGGGATTTAATGTTTGTTACTACAATGGCTACAACTTTCACTTTTGCACAGAAAGCATTAATTATGTTATTTACGGACTGATAACAATAGATTCCCATAAATCACGTTAATTTTAATGCGACGTCATTTACACGGATTTGCTAAGACCATTAAATTACCGAAATGAAAACTCTGTATCCAATGCTAATTAGGCGTAATTACACTATGCCCGACGAATTGGTTTTATAAATTTTATACATATTTTGTAAACCACCAAACAAATTTTGTAACGGCCTAAATTGTCTTATTTTTTTCCAGAACTATCAACAATAACCATAGCAACCGCTGAGCCCGACACAACACCATGGCCTGGTGCCCTGGCGCCACTGGACACCCTCTCAGTCGCGTGCGAAAAAGACAGCATGCATGTCACTATCTCGCTTGCGCACGCACATCCTGATCATGAGAATAGGTAAAAATATGAAATCAAAAATCCTTTTTTTTTTATAACTTGTACATTTTGGTGAGGTGAACGATAATATGTCACACGTTGAAATCCATACTGTCATTAAACGAAAAAGTCAACTAATGGGAAATGGTCATTAAAATTTCTGAAATTGAGTCGTTTAGTGACGGTGTCGTTTTCAAGGTGCGAGTGTCAGAATCATAACAAGTAGGAAGGCTGTGGCATCTACCCACACATGGGAAAATGGGTGTCAAGTGTACGTATGTATGTACAACACCACAGATGAAATGAAATTTTTGTAGCTTTAGAGCTCCTTGTGAAGGGGTTGTCCAGGGAAGTACTGCCACCTTACCTATTTCTACCGCCAAGCAGTATTGCGTTCTGGTTTTGAAGGGTGCTGGTGAAATTACAGGCACATGGGACTTGCCAACTTATGTCTCAGGGTGACGGGCGCAGTGGCTGTGCAAACGTGCAAAAATGTAAACAAATATTTGTTTACAATCATATCCATTTGTTTGTCTGTCCTCTGCTTGGTAGACCAGCATGGTAACCGTTCGACCACGAAAGCAGTCAGTTAAACAGTGTTTTCTTATTCAAATGGCAACGAGGACGGGATTAATTACTAATTGGTGGTTTTAACCACTGTATAACACTCTTTGTATCTTACTGTAGACATTTATCTACATGATGACGACATACGAAATGCCTTATTCTCTCTTTCGTTCTCTCCACAGCATATACGAGACTTTCAACGGAATCGTATACCCAGCTGGTCTCGGGAGCAATTCGTCCTGTCTTCGAGAGTATATCTCTGCGAGAGGTGACCTTCAGTACACTGTACCTCTGAGAGGCTGCAATACTATGTCTACTGATAATGTAAGTGTTTGTTTTCTAGATTAATAGTAATAATAATAACGCACACACTCAACATTGCCCCGCACTAGGGAAACCCTGTGTCGCGGGTGTCATGGACGCACATATAGACAACCACAGATTACACCCAAACTCACGAGAGAAATATATGTAGGCCATACGAATCGAACCTGAGGCCTCTGCGTGGCAGCCATTGTCCAGGTCCGGCATGGTAACTATTCGGCCACGGAGGACGTTAGACCTCAAATTTTGAGATCAAATACTTTCCATCATCCTCCTTAATTTTCGCTGTCAGGAAACGGAGCACACAGCCTAAATCCGCATCTGACTCCGTTGTTATTGATGTTTTGATAATTCCGGGCTTAAGGACTCTTGACCACTTCCTTAACCAAGGAGACTAGAAGCACATAAATGAACATTCGGCGTTCCATCAGTAATCATTCCATTGCGATAAAACTTTCGTAAGCTGTTGGACACACACCCGCTAAAGTTTCTGAAGTATTAGAACTCACACTAGATGTCACTAGTGGCGCTGAATGACGAAAAATCCCGTACAAAGATCTATAACAAAAACAGGAGAATTTCGACAACTTGATAACTTGACCTGTAGCTCAGTTGGTTTGAGCAGCGCTACGGTGCAGCATGGTTATGGTTTCAAGTCCCATCGCATTTTTCTATGTGTATTAATAATGATAACAAAACTATTGGAGTTAATTGACAAAAAAATCTCAATTAGAACTATTTTAAATTTCCAAAGACAATTTTTATCACGTTTCGACTAACACACTTAGGTTGGCTACACCTGGACTATAATATTTTGGTATCGCCCCTATATAATAAGGTTTTTATCGGTTTTGAAATGTTAACCCACGTTTCAAAACATATAAAAACCTTATTAAATAAATAAAGAAAAGAACAATAGGACAAATAGACATCTTCTGGGTAGCCTCGATCCATCTAATTTAAAAATCTAATTTTACTGCCTCTGTGACCGAACGATCACCATGCCATGCCGGACTACCACGCAAAGGTCTCATGTTCCATTCCTGGGCCGGGAGAAATATTTGTATGGCCTAAAATTATTTCTCTCGTGAGTTTGGGTGTAACTTTGTGGTTGTTTATGTGTTTTCCTAGTACGAGGCTATGTTGAATTGTGAGTGTGAGTTTTCTTCAACCTCGTCTAAACAGTCAATTTTATAACCAATGCTAACTTATATATTTTTTTACAATATCAAGTGACGGGACAAACAAGTCGTGCGCCTGGTGATAAGCGACACGCCTGTCCATAATGGCGCATTTACACCACGTAGTCAGACGACTTTCGCTTGTCCGCCGCAAGGCGACAAGCCGCCCCGTGTATATAGTAAGTCGTCTGACGACGGTTTTTTTCCAGTCGAAGTAGAGCGAAGCGACTGGGTTCGTCGCCTTCCACAAGGCTGTAGTTAACGATTCGGTGTAAATGGTGAGTCGACTGTATCGGCAGACGACCCGATGTAAATGCAGTGCCATTGACAGCTTTAAATTGTAAAAATCTTAGAGGGACTGCCACTGCACCCATCACCCTGAGACATAAGTTGACAAGTCCCATGTGCCTGTAATTTCGCCAACACCCTTACTCTTCTAAATTGAAACGCAGTAACGCTCACATAACTGCTTGGCGGCAAAAATAAGTAAGGTACCAGTACTTTCCTGGACGAACTCTTTCACAGGGAGCTCTACTGTTCACTATTCAGTGTTTGCTGGAAAACTCAATTCATTCCCAGCTCTGATTTTCAGAATGTTCATGAAGACGTGAGTAGTTCCGAACTCTAGGTAAACCCGAAGAGATAAACCCATGTCCAGCTGTGACACGCATAAATTCATCATCATTCCGATACACCCATCAACAGTCCGACTACACCCACTGCTGGGTCTAGGCCTTAGTTTGAGATACATGGCAATCCATACACATATACACAGAATAATCCAAAAAGAGTTTAAAAACAGAAAGTTGGTTAAGTGTGAACATTCTGTCTGTCACATCTTACGTAAGCCCCGATTTCTCCAATCAGGATTAACGATTGGCCAATGTAAAGACTTATAAATAAATAATTAGTTTAGTTAATTAGCCATTCATTCTGTTAGTTGGCTTGAACCACCCAATCAAACGCCGATAAGGAATGATCCAAAATAGAAATGACTATAAATTACATCCAACTTCTACAAGGTGGTTCTGAGTTTGTTATGACAGTGATGTTTATATAAGCTTATGAGTGGTGCTTATAAGCAGAAGTATAGCTCCTTGTGGAAGCTTTACTTAGTATCATTTAAAAAATCTACTAAGTATCAAAAGCATTCAGTTCGAAATACGAAATGGCAAATAAAGAAGGAAATCCAGTTCCAACATTGCCTAAGCTAAAAATAACACACAGTCTCTACCCCAAACAAAAGGCCACACAAGTGCATATGACTCGTTATACGCATGCTGTAGGCGTAATGCTGAATGACGGTAGAATAGAATGCATGACTGTCGTAAAGACTGACTCGTAAACGCCCCATGGTAAAGTCGAGAGAACGCTTAGTTTCATTTAAGATTTAAATTCAGCTCTATGCCATATACAATATGACTATCCAAATGCCAAAGCGTAAATTTGCTGTTGACATTACTCAAAGGTCAACCTTGGTTGGTTACAGTTTGGATATGAAAGTAAAAACAATCGAGATATTTATATTGTTGATCTGTGTTCTTGAGTAGATAAAAAAATCTACGTTTTTTATTCATTGGGACTAGTACTGCGCTGGCGCATTGTTGTAACGTCAGGCAATTCAAGTACAAATACTCTGTATTCCACAAAAGAAGAAGTTCTAGATAAAGACTGCCAGTCACAAGCGGTTATTTTCCTTCAGGTTTACCATTTGACTTTTCGCCGGTTTGCATTTTTTTTATAATATCATGTGACGGGCCGAACAAGTCGTGCGCCTGATGGTAAGCTACTAGCCTGTCCCTAACAGGTGCAATGCCACTCAGAGCTTTAAATCGCAAAGATCTGTGAGGCACTGCTACTGCGCCTGACACCCTGAGACAGAAGTTGACAAGTCCCTTGTGCGTGTAATTTCACCAGCACTCTTACCCTTCAAAACTGGAACACTGTGATGCTAACATTACTGCTTGGCACCAGAAATTGGTAAGGTTCCAGTATTTAACTGTACGAACTTGTTCACAAGAAGCTCTACTGCTGCTTAAATTAATTTAAAACTCAAAAGACGACTGCTTCGGGCGCTTTGCAGCGCGGTGAAATTTCATCGTGCAGTCAAGCAATCGCCAGGCATACGCTGACTGCTCGAGCTGTCGACTGCTCTCGGGCAATTACTTCTGCCTGCGGTCTTCATTCCACGTCAGGCGCGCATTTTCGCAGCAGCAAATTCTACGCCGCCGCCGTCGTCGTCTGAGCGAAAGTAGCAGTAGTGGTGCTTCTTCCTCGAAATCCAAGTTGCTACTGGTTTGAATGAAATAGAAATTGTGACTTGTTGAGCAGTTGATACCAACTGACTCCAGCAGTTATCAATGGCAGCCTCAAGGTTTTGACTATGACTGCAAGAGCGGTATTATGAACAGAAGTTTCGCATACCACCAGGCGTACGACTTGTTCGTGCCGTCACTTTAGTAGTATCATAAAAAAATCATTACCTAACTAATAGTTTAAATCCACAAAACCTTCAAGTAATCGACTTCCAAAAAAAAACCTCCAAAGTCAATATTCACCAAAAAGTTACCGTCTTGAGTAACGTTTAGCACCGTTATTACGTCACGACCTGACGACCAAATGTCGTGACGATATTGAAGCTATCCGTGATCAAGTTATATATTTTAGTGGTGTCATTGTTTAATGTTGCCGTTCGCGCTGTCGGCGCTATGATCGACAAAGAACTTATAATTTTTGAATAGTTACAACGGTATTACTTGTGAATAACCACAAAAGTCTTAACGTTTACTTTGTTTAAAAGTAACTGCTTTTTAACCAACCTCAAAAAAGGAAGTATTCTCTGTGTATTTTTTTGTTATGACTCTTTAGATTTGTGAACCGGTTTCGATTATTCGTTTTTGTTGGAAAGAGCGTACCCCAGTATTGGTCACATTTAAGTTTGAAGAAAATATTGCACCTCTAAGGGTGGCAAACTAGGGGATGAATCCGGTTTCGCGCACTTATGGGCAACCGATTTCAATATAACTTGCAAATATGTGTAATTCCACGAACTTTTTAAGTCGGTTTTTGTTCATAAGAAAGTTACAATTATATTTCATATCAATATATAATATAAGAGCACGCGGACTGCGGGACGCGTGAGGCGACCCCTCAACCTGTTCTCCTAAAATCTAGGTTCGCGTTGAAATACCTGGCCTTAACAATAAAACTGAAACTAAATAAGATATTAAAAAACCGATTAGAGGGGGTTGGAGATCTGGAAAAAAGCTACAGTCGAATTGAGAACCTTCTCCTTTTTTTAAATCGGTTAAAAATAACAGCAGGCGGAGAAAATTTCACACAGATCCGATCAGACCGAGGACCGATTTATGTTATTTAGAAGAAAACCATGCTTATGATTGAAGCTCTGTAGTAAAATTACGGTGTTCTTTTTCACATTAGGTGGGTTCGATTCCCGATTCTGCAAGGCGATTATTTTAAAATCTTTGAACACAGTTCGAATTGCTTTTAAAATCAAAGTGAAGTCTTCTTGCAGAAAAATTTTCAATCTACGGTTTGTAAGGTACTTTCCCTCCGTGTAGCCGTGGGACACCCTGTATATTAGGCAGTTTGAACCGACCTTTATTGCATCAACCAATCATTATAATTCATATAAAAATCAATATATATGTTAAAAACCAACCCTAGCACCTTTATATTAGAACAAAGAAAGATAATTGTCTCAAGTTTTTGTTCTATCTTTTATCTTTGTTTGAAAACCTGTCCTTCATTCCTTTATTCTTTTTATTTACTCACTATGTTGCCCTATCAAATATTTAT